ATTATAGTCATTATATAGAATTTAAGTTAATAAATGTCTGTTTAATCAAAGTTAATATGAAAAATATGGTTTCATATACTACTAATTTTGCAATAATTTTTTGAAACAATTATTAAAAAACATTTGTAATGTTTAAAATTGCTTTATAATTAGTGATTTTTATTAAAATATCACTTAATTGCGAAAATTATTTTCAAAAAAATTACACATATTCTTTGTTGTAAAATAAATGATATTTTTAATTTTCAGTTAGTATACACTTTACAAACATTATATATAAATATGATATTATAAGCGATATATTTTTTAATATATAACACATAGTTAATGAAGTTGTATATGATTTGCTAAAACATATGATAAATATTAAGAGTGAATTCAAACGTTTTTTTGAATTTGTTATCAAAGAACTATACATTTATGTGAAGAGCACATGGATTGCCAACACTGCTAATTGTGATGTTATATGCAATCCATGTATATTATAATGATTTGGATTTAGATAATAGTGTACTGTTGGCTATCAAACTACTAGGCCTTGGTTTTGACTCTCTCTCTCTCTCTTTCTTTCTTTCTCTCTCTCATTTTTAAGTGATACTCACTTTTACTCTCAGTCTCTCCTAAAAGTAGGTGTCTTATAGAAAACTGATACTATAGTCACTGCATATACTTTTTTGATATGTATATAACATTATATTTTATATACATGTATATACTGTATATAAATCTGTGGCAATATCGATGATATCTCATTATTGATACTTTACGTCGATTTAATGGCAACATTGGGCTCAAAATTAAGTGTATTTCTGCGCATTCATTGATAACACCAGACATGAGATGAAAGTACAGACATTTGAGTGTTTTGTGATTTTCAAACCCCTATTACTAGTACTTCAGCATTCATTCAATTAATTAATTGATGAATTTTTTATTTGTATATAATTGAAACATTAGTGAATAAAAAAAGTTATTTAATTTAAAAATTTAAACATTAATTTAAATGAGAGTGTAATCAAGTGATTGTCAATACTATAGACCAATCATAAGCCATGTCCTGCACTCGTGTCGGTTCAATACAACCCAATGTCTATCAGTGTTTGAATCCAACTCTAGTTAGCACTCAATTGGTGCCAAACTTTATTCCGATGGGTAATAATAATAATAATAATATAAACTTTTATCAACTTTATAACCCATGTTTTACTGTTACCAACAATAGAGTCAATCAAAATGTTATTAACAATAATAATCAAACCAATTATCGTCTAATTAATTATTGTCCAAAATTAGAAAATGTTATGATTAGTGAACCACAAGTGAAAGCAAATTATTTTCATGTCTTAGGCAACAACAATGAGGCGCAAACTTTTCTGTCTAAAGGCGGACAAGTAATCGTAAGGATGAGAGGATTGCCATACGATTGCACCGCTCAACAAGTGGTCAGTATTTAAACATTTTATTTTTGTTTCATTCAAACACTTGAACTTATGCTTAATCTGTTGGTCAAAACAATTGTAAAGATTGAGTTCTTTGCCAACGGAGACAACAGTTGTCAAGTGATGCATAATGAAGACGGCGTACTGTTTGTCCGCAAATCGGACGGCAGGGCTACCGGAGATGCTTTTGTTTTGTTTGAAACTGAAGACATGGCAGCGAAAGCTTTACAGAAGCATCGGGAGGTCATTGGCGCCCGTTATATTGAATTGTTCAGAAGTACCACTGCTGAAGTACAACAGGTTAGCACTAGTAGTCTATATAATACAATTTCCACACATTTTCATACTTTTAATACCAGTTTTGTCTATTTTATATGAATTTAGTTAATTATTTAGGATATGTTAGGATAATATCTAAAATTCATTACATTCTTATAAAAATAATGATTTTATTGACTTTATTTCATAAATAGCTATATTCTAATAACAATTAATTTAAAAAAATTTGATGATTAAAGAGAAAAATTTTAGTCAATTAAATTATACAAATTTATATTTTTAGTATTATTTATTATTTTATTTTAACATTAAATATTTGTGTAATACTTAGCAAATATTATAGATTTATTATAATTTTAAAAATATCTGTATTACAAATGTTTAAAGTGCTTGTTGGTAGAAAATTTATTTTACTTTTTATTTAAATTAAATTTATAATATAATACAATTTAGTTATACCTCTAATAAGTAATTTGTTATAAGAAACATACATCTATTATACGGTGTCTATGTATTGTAGAAATTATTTGTTTCCTATTAAATAAAATAAATTTACTTTCAACTATTGCTATAAATAATAATAATAAAATAGTTCAATACAATAGCATAAAATACTTAAATATTTATAATAAATACATGAATTTATTACCATTTTGTAAAGTACAGCGCAGAATATATATCATTAATTTCTATCAAAAAAGTCGACCACATTTGAGATGATTACTGCAAATGTGTGTACTTTTATTAATATAAAACAACATAAAAAATATTCAATTGTAAAAATAATATTCACTTAATGAACACCTGTGCAATACAAGAGACATTTCATCTGCAGGTGGCTATCATAACCAACAGTATTATAGGCATTCATTGAATTGGTTATTATAGATACATGTGCTTTATGTGTATTATGCTAGTGATATAATGAATATAATATCACTAAATATTTTTAACTTTCAAAATTCATCTAAAATTGGAGACTAATGTTAAATTTTATATTAAAGAAGTAATGAAAAGTTGGACTAAAGTTTAGAAAAAAATTAACAAACCTCAGGGCTTTATATACATTATACAGTATGTAGTATACGGTATATTTGACTCTCATTTGATACAAACTTTATGTATTTAGTGTTATAGACATTCAAAATTTCCCTATCATTGTAATAATCATTTTATTTTGAGTTTTATTTTCGTAATTCATTAGAAAATGTGTTTCTTTTGAAATAAATTTCAATAAACAGGATTTAAACTTATCTTTAAATTGTAATTTAATTGATTACAATCCCTGTCCCTTAATAGGTGCTCAACCGAAGTATGGATCCGCGAACATTTGAACCACAATTGCCTTTAATCGCGAGTCTACCACACGTTCCACTCATACCTCAACAACTTTTACCGTCGGGTTCGCGCAAAGACTGTATTCGTCTCCGGGGTCTTCCCTATGAGGCACAGGTCGAGCAAATACTTGAGTTTCTGGGAGAACACGCAAAAAATATTGTCTTTCAAGGGGTGCATATGGTTTATAATGCACAGGTATGTTATATTGTCTTTTAGTAAATTATAATAAAATATTTACAAAATTATTCGGTAAATCAATACTAAATATTATATTAAAATAATGAGTTTTATAATTTATAATCAACCATAGGGTCAACCATCTGGTGAGGCATTCATTCAAATGGATTCGGAACAGTCGGCTCAAGTGGCGGCACAACAACGACACCATCGATATATGATTTTCGGTAAAAAGCAAAGATATATTGAAGTTTTCCAGTGCTCTGTTGATGATATGAATCTTGTGCTTACCGGTGGTATTCCTGTACAAAGACAACTATTATCTCCAGGTATGACATAAAAAGTTGATTTAAACTTTGAATGGATTAAAATTGTTTTGAATGAAATGATATTAAACAGGAGGAACATTATTGCCACCACCTTATGGTGGTTATCCATATCCGGTGCAGACATCGCAAGTGCTACCGACGGCCGTGTCAGCAGCCAATGCGGCATCACTAACACCGGCCAGAATTCAATCATTTGCTTATCCCAATCCATTTAATCTGATCTATGCCTGGCCATACCCATCACCACCAGTCTCACCCACCACATACTACACACATTCCGGGCCAACTATGGTAAACATGAGAGGATTGCCTTTTTGTGTTCATCTTAACGATATTCTTAATTTCTTTAATGGTTGGGAGGTTAGGGTATTAACATTTGCTATAAAAATTAAATGCATGTTTTGGGCTTTACTTTAAATTTAGCAATTTTCATAATTTTATTTATTAATCAGTCTATAATGTTTTGTTAGTTTTTTGTTTTTATCACAATTGAACTTAAATAACATATTCATATACCCATATGACTCTTTCTCATAAATATATTTATAGTTTATAGTATTAAAGGTAGTATAATATTATTTCATATAAAGTTATCTCACAATTGACATTATTGGATTGCTAATGTTATGATATTTCAAGTTTCAAAAGTATCTATTATAAGTTTTTTAAATATAAATTTTCTCTTATTTATGAAATATGTCTAATTCACAATTTTCCATATCTGTAATAATTTTATTGATAATATTGATAAGACTCATCTACTTTATATTTATACTGTATATAATGTATATATATATATATATATATTTATTAATAAAGTGTATAATAGTTTTAATATTTTATATAACTAATAATGAATTACTCTAATAGCTGACCACGGATTGCATTCAATTACAACGTAATGGCGACGGCCGACCAAATGGTGAAGCAATGGTCACATTCCCGACACGAGCCGATGCCGAGCGTGCAATACAAGAGAAAAATCGTCAAAACATAGGGAACCGGTATATTGAACTTTTCATGGCTTGATTGCCAAAATAATTAGAGACAATAATTCTATAATAAATTTATAATTATAATAAAGTTGTTAATTATATGGAAAACTAAAATCAAAATGAAATCAAAAGGATTTTTATTAACTATATTTGACAATCGTTTTTAATGAAAAATTATGTGTACAGTGATTATTAATGTAACATTGATTATAAATTTAACGACAAATTACCACAAAAATCAAATTTAGATAAAGAAAGAAATTGTTAATTAATTTATTTATTATTATATGAATGTCTGTTTTATTTTTATAGAAATATTAATATCAATAATATATCAAATGATAAAAAGTGAAAAATTAAATGTTATACATTAAAAATATATATTCAAAACGATATTAATATAATATAAAGATATATATATAAAGAAATCAAGTCTTTAAACATAAATACAAATAAGTTTTTCAATATATTTTTTTATAATGTATTAAATTTTGCGATAATTTATTTTTTAATTTATTTAACTATTGAATCTGTATTTTCATACATATTTATATAACTTCTGTTATGAAAATATTATTATATGATTGACAAATCATTCTTCTAATTAAAAAAATATAAATTATAAAACAAAATTTAATAGTGATATTAAATGTGAATGAGCATTGAGTACATTTTGATGTCAATGATATAATTAATAGTAATTATTCAATATTATATATAATAGCTATTTAAATAATACATTTTTATCAATTAATTACTGATATATAAATCATTGCCTTTTTAAATTGTCTTTGATATACAATATAAACTATATATCGATATCATATATAAATCGATTTATATATAATAACAAACACATTGTCTTCCATAATAATCATAACATTTAAGAATTTTACTATTTTTTAATCTTATGAATCAATGATTTAATTTAATTTAGTTTTCTAATAATTTTTAAACTAATTATTTACATAAGCGTAATATGAGTGTTAAAATCTTATAGTTATTAATATTATTTATTCATTTTAGGCGTTTCATTGACTCATAATATCGTTACAAATCAGCTATTTTTTACTCAAAACGCCTTTTCATTGACTTTAATAATACTTGATATCTTAAAAAATGAATAATAATTGTTTTCCTAATTTAAAGTCACTATATATATATAATATAAGTATAAAAATCATAATTTATTTATAAAATAATTCACATTTTATAACTCATATTTATAATTATAATGTAAATCTTATATTAAATTTGTATATTTTTTTATAAAACAATGGGTTAATTCCCATAAACGGCTAAAGTTAACCATAAGTGCCTTAATATTGAAGCCTTATATTTGTAAAGCTTATCTATTATTGTTAGTCTAATCATTAATTATAATTATTTTTATAGTTATATGACTTACGATTTTCTCAATTTATAATATTTTTATATTTAATTATATTTAATATAACAAACAATAAGGACATACCTGTGCCTTAGATACAGAACATTCCGCCCGAAAATAGTTAAGATTATTAATACTCGTTAGGCTTTTTTAAAAAAATATTTTTATTAAAACCTAATAGAGTTAACAAATTAATAGTCTTACAATTTTGTAATATATTATTTAGTTTAAAAATATTACAATTAATTATAATATAAATAATATAATTTATAGTAAAATTCCTAGTCTTTACTTGCAATTAATATTTAAATAAATATGTATTCTTAATGTTTGTCCATTAACTTTGATTAATGTCATTATACTATTATATCTGTTCTCAAAAGTCTATTATTTAAATTAATTTACAATTTTTTAATGTCAGCACATTTTTATAATGAAGTCAATCCTTAAAAAATTCTTTTAATTAGTAATTAAATGTAATATTTTGTATTTGTGTTTTAAAATAATATCATTTATGTATTTATATTTTCTATATATATATATACTGTATGTATTAAAATAATAAGTTATAATATTTTGTTCAATAAGTTTTAATCAAATTTAATTGATTAAAACTAACGGAACCGAGACGAGGGGCAATCAAAAATAAGTAATCAATATTTAGTTTGTAAACAAATATTAATTACTTTTTGTAAATTATTTTCTTTCCATTTTTTGTCAATATATTATAATCAAAAATTTTTTAATAAATTTATTTTGTATTAATATTTATGCTAATTTAATTTGCATACAATTATAATAACTTAAATTAATTTTTTTAAATAAAATAATTTAAATATTTATCATCGTATTTCATTTATTAAATTTTAAAAAGTGATATTTAAATTTCCAAGTTATAGGGTAAGCATAATTATAAGTTTAATTATTATCAAACTAATATGATATATTAGTAATATTTTTTTTAATTAAAAAATAGATCTGCAATAATATATACAATTTATGGATAATTTGTATGATTTATTTGATCAAAATATAGTATTGGAAACATTGGATATTTAGAAAATTGATAATATTATTACAATTAAGCAAAATATTGATATTATTTCAATTTATATAACTTAAAATATTTTATTAATAAAGTCAACGTAAATAACATAAACTTAAAACATTTCATTAGTGTATAAAAATTGAAAACTTTATATTTCTTTAATAAATAATTTTTAAAAATTAGCATAATCTACTGTACATCTACTGTATATATAAAATATTTTAAAACTAATTATGTACTAATAATTTAATAAGTAAAAGAAATTACAGGTACTTATAATGTTGTATTGATTAGCATAGAAAATAAATTATTGAATTGTTTTATATTATATTTTACAGCATATGTTACTAAATATTATACATAATTGATAATAAATACAATAAATTAAACGTATTTAAAATAAACTGTAGTTAAATAGTATATAATTTTATCTAAACTATTGAATCGTATTATTAATACAAATGTTGATAAATTTAACGTATGATATGATAGTGTATTAACATTTGAAACAAATGTATTGAATTTGTTTGACGGACACCACTATAGCGACACTTAACGTTAGTTAGTATACAACTCAAGACATTATAATTGGTTTTACAGTAGAGTTATATTGTTTTGGATATGAGATGTCATTAGTTGTAATACATATTCATTGTTATTAATAGTAATAATAATAATATAATAATAGTATATATTTGTTGCGATTAGAGTCCAAACATAACATACCGTAACATAAGTTCAATAAATGTTTGCAATTATTATTGAAAAAACAAATTGATTTGTCATTTGATTAAACTGTTTATTGAATTAGTAATGTTGTCATCAATTGTGTCGCCAATTGTTTATCTAAACTAAGGTAAAGACCAGTTGTTGATCACATCATTTGAGAGCAACTATTGTGTGATTACTTGTAATACAATTGGATTGAAGTGCGTCTGAATGGTTGGTCACCACAATGTGATAATCAGGTTTGTTATGTCCAACAAAAAAGACTACATTTAGCTATTTATATGACTTTGACATGACTTGTGACCACAGAAGACCTGATGAGCACATGTTTGATGTGAAGAGATCCGTTGAGCAGAATGTCTTACGTGAAGACCCGATCGGAAGACCACAAGAACAACAAAGAGAATAGCAATACGACCGATGGTTTGGCCGTCGATATGGTCTACAATTACAGACACAACAACTCGTCATATAATTCACGATCATTTGTTTCAACGCAGCGAAGAAATGGTCAACAAAATGACGACAACAAACATAGCAACAACTCTTACGCCAATAACAGACACACGAATAACTTGGAAGGAATTCCACTCCAGAAGTCGAGCGTTTCAGCGACAGTTCAATCGGATCTGCGGTTACTTCGCAATAGTTTGCGACAGTTTGAGACCGGAGAGAAGCGATTGTGGCCAAAGTATTTGCAGGATTTGACACAACTGTTCCAAACTAATACCTTTCCGCGCGCTGTCATTGAAAAGCCCGGACGGTATGATTAAATAAATATATTTATTGTTAATATTAGACGACATTATGTTTTGTTTATACTCAGTGTTATCGATGATGTCACCCGACAACTGACCAGAATATTGACCACTAAATTGTTTACCGATATTATTAAGGAAATTATTGAATGTATGGCTGCGTTTAGCGCTTGTCTTAGTCATCATTTAAGAGAGTTTTTTAATTGGATGTTTGATTTATACAATTCATCCATTACTGATGAAACCAGAATTGTTTTGCTGAAGAGTTTACTCAAAATGATTGAAAACAAAAGCAAAGGATTGAATGAAAACATGGGTTCACTTCTAAACAAATTGAAAGATGCTTTAGAAGAAGCAGAAAATATTGAACTTTTATTAACCGTAACTGAAGTGATATTAATGGCCGCTAAAAATTACCCGAATCTACTGCAACAACATTTTCGAGATGTCGTCGATATATTGATTGGTTGGCTTTTAGACTCAACTCAATGTCACAATCAAGTTATGACAAAACCATTAGAAAATGCTTTGATATCATTGAAGCAATTTTGGAGATATGATATGGAGTTTTCAGTTACACTTTTAGGACAATTTATTGAAGACTTTGAACGTTTTTATCAAGAATTGATTGACGAAAATAAAGATGTTTTAATTCAACCCAAAAGCCAATTAAATCCCAATCGTCGCTCAACTAATGAGAACTTATCATCCGATGCCAAAGTCTTGAAGATGGCTTCACTCATCAATATTTACGTAACTGTTTTGAAGAGTTTAGAAAGATTTAAATCACATGATTTAAATCAAACAATTACATGGGATTTCTTGAGTGATGGTCTTAAAAAAATAATGAATTGCGTTAATTCTATCATTTGTATTAAAACTTCTGAAGATCTAGTGATCGCAACTAATCATTGCTCGAGACTTACATTGGAATCGGTTGATGTTATATCTCCTCAATCTAAACAATTGCTAACTGTTTTAAAGCCACAATTACTTGAATATGTGGAAAAAGTACAGCAATTATTTGATTTTGCGAGTAATGAATATATAATCAGTACTTTAGACTTAATGAAAACAGTTGTCAAGAGTCTGAATACAGATTTGGACACCGATTTTGTAACCAAAGTGTTTATTGTTGGCTCTCAGACACACAAATTGCGATTTATTCCATCAAATAAAGTACAGAAAAGTCTATTTTCATTGCATCACTCAATCCTATCCATTAAAAGTGTTCCCATTCTTGAAGAATCTTATCGATGCTTATTATCAAACATGAGTTTTGCACTTTCGATACTTTTTGATACAAAAGTTGTTGTTTTGGCCGATGATTTAACCGAAGATTTTAAAAGCTATAATGTTTACACCGAAGAGGAAGCAATACATTTGTTACAGTCGTGTTTGGTTTCATTGAGTGAAATCGCAAACACCAAACACTCACTTATTATAATTTGGGCGCTAAGACCAACACTAATTGATTTAGTACTCAATATTATTAACAACTGGAATGAGATCCTATCGACCAAATACAAGACAATTCATTATTGTTTACTTTATATGTTATACTCTTATAGCACAAAACATATGCATTTTATATCAAATAGTAGTCTTATAGTCAATTCCCCCAATTCTGGTCAGACATCAACTTCAAGTCAAATAACTGGTATGTTATTCAATACATCAATGACTCACCACAGTGTCAACAATTTGTCAAATATTCTTAAATTATTGAATATTGTACTTAAACTAAAGTCATTGTCACCAGAAGTTTCAGTTCTTTGTATTGATTGGATTCATGAGATCATTAAGAATTCCCACTTACATCTCAATACATTCAGTACAGCTAAAGAAATTATTGACGTAATAGAAACCATTTCAGACATGACTTTCTCTAACAATAAAACTGTTTGTCTGAAGAGTGCAAAAATTATTGAAACAGTTGTGAAGTTATTTCCAAATATTGTTTTGCCGAATGCTTTTAATAAATATCAGAAGTCATGTCTTATAAAGATTGGACACATCGATGAAGACATTAATAAAGAATACATTAATCTATTGGCTATTCTTCCCACTGCTATTAAGACTCAAGATATTCATATGTCTTCATTTTCAGATATTTTATGTCGAAGAGATAGTTATCTGTATCCCGAAGACATTCGATTGTCTATTTTGGCTCTCATCCAAAGGGAACCTTCGACTTCGTTTACATCAAATTGTTTCCGATCCGTTGTCTCTTTTATTCTCGACAATAGTTATTCAGAAAACAATAATTGGTTAAGACGTTGGTTTAATACATGTCTTAGTGATGACAATCCAATTAAATGTTCGCAATCACTGACAAAATATCAAAGCATTTCAAATACAATAAATACAACTCAAGTATTTGATAGTTATAAAAGTTGCCAAATATATTGGTCGGTTTGGGAAGTGGTTCAGTATTGTATATTCAACCGTTTGAGGACACCATTAGGCAAACCTCAGGACACATTCACAAAGATTGAAGCGACTATTAAACGACGAGTCGTACAACTTCAGGGCACTATTGATGACTCTAATACATCGATTGAAGTGAACTCAATTCAAGTGAGAATGTTATTGCTTTTGATGGAAAATATCGAGAAATTGGTCTACAATGCAATTGATGGTAACTCTAGTCGACTCTATACAACACCGAAAAGTGCCAAATCGTTTTTCAGGACTAATAAAGCTACCTGTGCTGAATGGATTACTAGGAATCGTATGTCTGTTATGTTAATTGCACTCAAATGTGCTGAACCCGCAACTGTTGTACGTCACGGACAAGAATTACTTAGAGAACTGATTCAATCGAAAAAACAAACAAACAAAGACTTGGAATTAATTTTAATTATAATAATTGAAGCCCTCATCCAATTGGAAGCGGCAGATGCTGTCATGGGTTACTATATTTGGGCTAAACAAACACTTGGACTTAAATATTCGTGGATTAAAGCAGCCGCTGAAGAGGCCAGTGGTCACTATGAGAATGCTTTGGATCAATTGGATGTAATTCAGAGCGAAAATTTGCATTCAAATGACAATGAGAACGGTGTTGTCGATAAAGATATGTCATCCAATAAAACTGATTTTTTAAACAACCGTTTGGTTCAATGTTATCTAAATGTCGGTCGATTTGAGGAAGCAATTAATTGGAGTAAACAAACACAGAAAACATCGGCTAATAATCTCTTCAACAATAATATTGATTTTAAATATCTTTACGCTATGTCTGAGTTTCCCAATCAAGTGAATGATGAACCAAATGAACGAAATAATACTTTGACAAATGAGACAAAACATGTTTTATGGGATAGAAATGCAATGTATTATAAATCGCAGTCAAAGCTCTTTGAATTATGTGTCTCTCATTTTAAGGATCCATCAAATAATATTAATAAACAACTGGAAGAGCTCATTGATAATAACATAAATCCATTGGTTAAGATACCAATACTGTGTGGTCCGAGCCCTGAGTTTTCAATGATAACTGTTTTGCATAGAAACGCAATTGCTTTGAAATCAATTACCGGTACTAATAATAATTATAAGATATTAAAGAATATATTACCATTGAATCCAATGACAGGATTCACATCAACTAATGCCAGTGTTTTAGTTAATGCTATGATTTGGGCCAATATTTATAACAATTTAGCTCAAAACACGACAATTACAACAACAACTAATTCATTCAATAATTCATTTAATGAATTGAATTATATTTGTGCAAAAACTGCACGAAAACAACAAAATTTGAAACTTTCACAAATACTTCTATTGAAATACGCGGCCAATACTTGTGGTCTAGAATTAGCCAAACATTATATTAAAGGAGAAGCGATGAACAATATATCGCTAAAAGTAAATGATTTATCGCCAATAATTAAAGTCATCAAAGAAGCCATCAATCAAAAGAGTAGATCCGAAAATTTGATTAATTTTGAATTAGAAGCGGCAAAACTTATGTATAGTTTTGGTAACTCGAGAGCTGCCATCGATACACTCCTTAGTTCAACTTCACAATTGCTACTCAAGTGTGACGACAAGCACAGTGACCAATACATGGAAACTATGTCTCGAGCGCTGTTAACTTTGGTCAAGTATTTACAATTAGATACCAAATATATCGAACAGTTAAATATATCACATCCCACTCTTACTTTACTACTTCATCGATTTAATGACCTCATTGATTGTGAACAAGTATTGGGACCGTTAGATACATTGGTCGGAAAATTATTATTGTTTAGTGTAAGCAATTATCCAGATTTAGCTAAGTCTTGGTATGCATTGGGCGCCTGGAGTTACCGATGGGGTCGCAAATTGAGTGATTTAGAAGAAGACAAACTCGAACACAGAAGTATTACTAAAGAAGAGAACGCTTACGCCCTCTACAAACTGTCCGCCACTTCTTATTTTAAGTTTTTGCATATAAGTGGACACAATAGCTGTGAATCAGTTAACGCAACTCTTAGATTATTACGGCTTATATTAAAACACGCAAATGAAATGCGAGAGATTCTTGAGGTTGGCCTCTCTCAGACACCAACCGAGCCGTGGAAGAACATTATTCTTCAATTGTTTTCACGACTTAACCATCCGGAGCATTATGTTCGCCAAAGCATTAGTGATCTTTTATCAAGAATAGGTAGTGATTGTCACCATCTAATTGTTTTTCCTGCTGTTGCCGGATCTTTAACAAACAAAAAGGAAGAATTTGTATTTGATTCAGTTCCCGGAAAGACTTTTGGTTTCAATGAAAGTTTTGATGACGACTTTGATGTCGATGCTGTCATCAACGAACAAGAAGAAGAGTCAGCACTAATGCAGAACTGCTACGCGGCTCTCGTCGAGACTTTGAGTCAACAGAACCCCCAATTAATATCACAAACTAAAGCATTTGTTTATGAGTTGCGACGAATCACTGTCTTATGGGATGAATTATGGATCGGAACTCTTATGAATCATTTGGGAGAACTTAAGAAACAAATTACTTCTTTTGAGACAGAAGTCGACAAAATAAAGGGAAACCATATGTTGAACGACGAAGAAAAAGCTTATATTATTCGAGAAAAACACAACATTTTTTTTAGACGAGTCATATATTTCTTAGAGTTGACGCAATTGATTACTGGAGAAACACCAGAAACACCCCATGAAGCGTGGTTTCAGAGATCTTTCGGTAAATCGATTGCCGATACCATTAAATTATTGCAATCACCTGCAGATCCTTCACAACCTCAACAAAATTTAGTTGTTTATCAACAGTTGTTACAAATGATTCAAAAGAAAGCAATGATGGCCTCAAATGGTCGCTCACAGCTTATTATGGATAATATTAGTCCAATTTTAGCGTCACTCGAGAACACTGTAATACCGATGCCGGGACTTAATGTTCACTCGACTACATCTGGAACTACAATAACAATACAACGGGTCTCCCGAACGGTGACCACTTTGCACACTAAAACTAAACCTAAGAAAATTGTTTTCTTTGGTTCCGATGGCAAAGCACACGCCTATCTGTTTAAAGGACACGAAGACTTGCATTTAGACGAACGTATTATGCAATTCCTTGCAATTGTCAACAAAATGATTGTTAAATATCACAGCAATAAACAAGAAAATGTTTATTATAGAGCTCGACATTATTCAGTGACTCCATTAGGCAATAAATCTGGACTAATTCAATGGGTAGATAGTGGACAAGCACTCTATGGTTTTTACAAGAAATGGATACTCAATCGAGATGTATCACCCAATAAAATGAATGCAAATCAAAATCAGAACCAAAATGGCGCCAATGATGCTGTTTATAAGCCTTCGGACATATTTAACCGAAAGTTGATTTCAAAAGGAATTGTTTCGACGACAAGAAGTGAGTGGCCATCAAAAGTATTGGTTCAGGTTTTACAAGAATTAATGAAAGAGACGCCAATTGATCTAATATCGAAAGAGTTGTGGTGTGCATCAGTTAATTCGTATGATTACTGGCGACTCACTCAGACATTCACTTATTCAAACGCATTGATGTCAATAATTGGATATATTATTGGTTTGGGTGACAGACATCTCGACAATATATTGCTTGACTTAAATACTGGAGAAGTGATTCACATTGATTACAATATATGCTTTGAAAAGGGAAAGACACTTCGCGTACCAGAGAAGGTGTCCTGTCGTTTGACGCAAAACATTGTTAACGCATTCGGTATAACTGGAATTGAGGGCACTTTTCGTATGTCTTGTGAAAACATACTTCGAGTTCTTCGCAAAGGAAAAGAGACGCTTTTGACTTTATTGGAAGCATTTGTTTACGACCCGCTAATTGATTGGACGCCTGAACATGAGGAAGGATATACTGGTGCCATATATGGAGGCGCACGCATTGCAGAGTTGGCCAATGAAGGGAAACTTATTTCAAAACATCAGATGGAGAAAGAAAACGCTGAAGCGATTGTCAGATTGAATGCTAAGATTAAACAAATTGAGAGACAAAATAATTGGCCTAAAATTTCCGATGATATGTCAATGGTTGAAATTGAACCCAAAATGGACACTTTAGAAGATATTACATTAAATGATACCGCTATTGTCAGCGCTTCCAGATTTGGCAACGTTTCTAATTCTATTGAAAATGAAAAGTCAAAGAAATTGTCAAACAATAAAACATCTTCTTCTGTTAAACGTAATACTTATGCGACAAATGTGTGGAAAAAAGTTAAAATGAAGGTTTGATATCAAAATATGTTTTTGTAATTATAGTTTTCATTTAAATTATTTTTTGTTTGTTTATACATTGTTTAGTTGGACGGTAGAGATCCGGATCAGAACAAGAAATTTAGTGTCATTGAACAGGTCAACAATGTGTTGAAAGATGCCATGGATATAGAAAACTTGGCGCTTATGTATGAAGGCTGGACCAGGTATTTGTCAAATTAAATTTGTATTATAATATATGATTATAATTATTGTTTTTTATTTTATAACAAAAATAGTTGGGTTTGAATGACACTAATAAAACAAATTTGGGTTAAAGCTGTTAAACAAAACAAAATCCAGAATATATAATCTGGTTTACCAAACGACCAAAATATAAACATCTGGTTCCGGACCTATCGGTTCAATCCAAACGACTCTACAAATGAATCGGAAACCATTTGGTCGGATCTAAAAAAATCCACATTAAAAACAATATCCAAAATTCTCTAATCGCATAACAAAATGGTTAATCCAGTTGAGGGAACCAACCAAATGGATGATCAGTCGATAGATTGGATCGTTCTCTCCTTATAACAGATTTAATTGTATATCATTTCATTTGAACACTAAAATTCTTGTCCACAAAAAAAGATTTGTGTTTATTAGACCCAAAAATTTGTTAACACACAAACAATTACTGATTGCTTTTTTCAATTTTTTGTTGTTTTATAAATTTTTTTCTTTCCTTTCATTATTATTATTTTTATTATTATTATTTTCATTAATTGATTCATTTTTTACATTTTAAAAGACAACTTATTATTTTACATAAATTTAGATTTTGGCTTAAAAATGCCAAACATTGCGGATATTTACCGCAATTGTATTACATTTAACAACAAATCTGTTCAATTTCTTGAAAGTAATGTATTGAATACAATAATTAAAATTTTATGTAATCAATGGAATAATTGGCATTAAATAAAGTTTTAAATCTATTTTTTCTTGTTTTATTCAATTTATAATAAAATGTTTTGTTATATAATTTGCCAAAAATATGATAGATTTTTAAATATTTTTTTGTTTGGTAATAATTATTATACTTTGAAAATATTTGACTTTTATTTATACATTATTTATATAACTATTATTTATTTATAAATAGAAATATGAAATATTTTAAATTTCTAATAATTAAGAGTTGTTGTAAAGCACACGAAAGTAAAAAAAATCAAAATTGTTAAAAACATCTTTGTTTATAACTTGTTTAGATTTTCCACAAATTTTATCAAATTTAAAAAATTATTTATAACTTTAAAGTTGAATTAAGCAAAATTTCTTCAAAGTGATATCATATCTTAATTCAAACTGTATTTTTAACTTTAGACCCTATTTAAATTTCTAGTTTTTTTTGTGGATACTATATTATTTATTTTCAGATTTATATTTCAGATTTATATTCAGATTATAATTTTTTAAAACTATAAATTAACATAATGTAATCAAATTTAATAGTTTCAAAATTATTTTTATTACAAAATTATATATGATCTATTTTTAAAAATAATAAATAGCACTAATTATAGTGATATTCTCGACAAAATAAAATAAAACAATATTTTTATCAAGCAAATAGTGTTTCCATATTTATTTATTTATTATAATTATTATATATGTATTTTAAGAATAAAATTAAAATCTTAAAAGATTTTTATTAAATGTGTCATTTCCTGTGATAAACTAAATGACTGTCATATAAATTAAAGTAAATTACTTTTTGTAATTAATTTAGAAGAACTTTCTATTTTTTTCTTGAAAACAAATTTATGTAAAGCTTTTTATTTGTTTTTTTTTTAATTTTTAGATATTATTATTTATAGTTGATTTAATTTTAGATAAAGTGATTAATTTGATATGACATACAACCTTTGGTTATATTATATGATATAAATATATAAAATTATAAAAGTTTTATACTTCAAGCTAATTACACAAATAATCACTTTCTATGTGCAGTAACATAGTATGCAATTTATATCAATTTAAATATTGTTTAACTTTTTTATAAATTGAATAATACCTTTAGTTTACATGTATTATAATTTATAAATAACATTATTTTTTTATAAAAATAAATATTGCTTACATTTTTGAAAAATAAAGATAATTTTGATATACTATTAAAGAATAACCATACAAACAGTGAATATTAATTATACATAATTATATAAATCTTGAAGTTATAAACAAATACTCGTTTATAGTCTACAATATTGATTATACTGTATTGTATAGTATATTATACATTATTTTTAATGGTCTCATATTTGTCAATTCAGTCTAACTAACGTTTAGTTTATTTAGTAAAACAAAGATTTCAATGTTAAAACCTTTTAAGACTTTGTTATAAAAGTAGCCATAAATTTAAATTGGGTTCACTGTCTCTTAAATACAGGAAAAAATAAACTTTATTTGATATTAATGGTTTAAAATTTTAATGACAATAAAGCAATTATTATAAATATATAAATATAAAAAGTTTCAAAACAATAACCACTACAAAGATAAAGATATCTGAATTTTTATGAGGTTTTCTTTTAGTAAGATTTTCCAATTAATAAATCAAAAAAATATTTTATTTTAAAATTGTAAATATATGTAAACATTAATTTGTAATAAAAAATATTTATTTATATATTAATAATATAAATACTGTATAAAAAATGAATGTTTTGTAAAACATTTGGGAAAACATTTGTTTTAATATTGAATATGTGAGCCAATAATGGATTGATTTAAAAATCAATAAAATGGTTAACCAATAACTATACTTACATTTTGTGCATAATTTAGGTTTATATGCAAACAGACACGAGATTGGACTAACACTCACTCTTTATATACATTAATACAAATTTATTGATTATTATTCACAGCACACATACACATAAACGTTAGGTATAAATATATTTGTTATATTAATTGTAATACATTTTATAATAGGTTTTTTCAATTAATAATAAATTATTTTAATAAATTTTTAGCAATTTTTGTCAATTGTCTAGCTTTTAGTTTAATTAGATAAAACGGTAATTCTGTTTAATAACAAAAATTTTAATTAAAATAAAACATTTATTAATAAATTTTTCAAACATTTGGTTTATACAGTATTTGTATTAATATTTGTATAGATATGACATCCTTTGGTCGTAAACTTTCTTATATATTATTGTATTTACATTTTATACACCTATTATTTTGTATAGATTAAGATAATAGAAATTTAATTAATATCACTGTATTTTTTATCTCAACAATAGTGTTTATTTTTACATTAAATTTTATATTTAATGTTAATTAAACAAATCATATTTTTTCAAATAAAATTATTTTTAAATGTAGTAATAAAAGCGATCCTTTATTTGATCATAGATTTGAAATGCAGTAGTGATATAAACATCACATATTTTTTTTAATTATTATAATTTTAGAAATATATTATTTAATAGTATATCAATTATATATTTTTATTTGATTATATCATAAGATATAGTTTTTTTAATATTACAATATTTTTAAGATAAGTCATAAAATGAGAGAGAGAGAGATAGATGGGCAAATAGAAAGTTTCTAGAAAATTTCTCATGAATAAATTTCTATAGAAATTTAACTTTATTATTATACAATGGAATCCCCATATCTATAGCTATTGTAATACTATATTAATGAGAAATAATAATATACATATAATATTATACTACATGTACAATACTACTATACAAAATGGGATACATATATAAAATAATTATAATTATTTAATAATCAGTTTTGTAAAATTTTATTCATTAATTTATTATATATTATTACATATTACATATTTATTACATAAATTTTTTTAGAAACTTTCTAGAAATTTCTATTTTTTGCCAACACTAGAGAGATGTCAGGATTTAAAGTGAACGTCACATTACTGTAAATTTAATATAAGCACAAAATCGGAGTATGAAAGCAATCGTATAATAAAATGTATTAATTTTTTGTTTGTTTATAAATGATTTTGTGGGATATGACTGATATGCAGACCTTTATGGTTGACCCCATTTATCACGAGAACCGTCGGTCTGACAAAAAAATGACTAATAGTAAACTTGTAGAGAATAATAAGCTTTAATCGGCAGTTTTGAATACAGTCAGATCGGTTGAACCGTAACTTATTATTTACTACAAAATAACTAATGGCCACTATTTTGTTCGACAATTGGTTTTCGAGATAATCGGTGTCTGCGGTCAAATTTACTTAAAAAACCCGTTTTTCGTAATATCTCCTGAACGGGTCAACCGATCCGACCGCGACCAACACTGCCGATTAAAGCTTATTATTCTCTACAAGTTTACTATTAGTCATTTTTTGTCAGACCGACGGTTCTCGTGATAAATGTGGTCAACCATAAAGGTCTGCATATCAGTCACATCACACAAAATCATTTATAAACAAACAAAAAATTAATACATTTTATTATACGATTGCTTTCATACTATATATTATATGATGAAACAATCGTATAATAAAATGTATTAATTTGTTGTTTGTTTGTAAATGATTTTGTGATTATATTTAAATACACTTTTATTGGAACCCTTTTCCCATTTTTTTGTATTATTGTCTGTAATATACAATAATAGACAAAAATTATTAGACAACCATAATATAGAAATGCACTAAAATGAACTATAAGTATATTCGAATATTACATAATATCAATGTATTTATATACAATAGGTGTCTAATAAAGTTTGCCATTTACTGTAGTATACTTATAGCACTCATAAGTTTAGATGAGTGCATACAAACAGTAACTCAGATTATGATAATGCTCTTTGTACACAAACTATAATAACTATTAATTATTTATTTCATGTTTGAAATAAACAACGGTTGCCCATCAGGGATCGAACCCAGTAAGTCGATCGAAGCAAATGTCTTGTTTATAAATAATACGTGCAATTAGCCGACACCTTTGCCATTTCGGCCAATGGGATGGAGAGATAGAGAAAGAGAGAGAGAGAGAGAGAGAGAGAGAGAGAGATAGCCATCAAAAATGATGTATTGAATATTTAATTGTGTGACACAAATGGTAGAAAATCCTTATCTATAATATTGATTTCCTGTTTACTTTTTTGTTATAACTTATTTTACAATTATTTATACACTAATTATTGCATTATTTTATTTTGCTAGACATTCATAAATTATCCAAAACATTAAAATAATAGATTTTAAAGAAATGTCAGTTTTATCAATAGATCATAATCTTGTATACACTTTAATGCAATAATTATTGCTATCTTAGTATTTAAATCTAAATAATGAATATAAAATATAAGATAATTTAATACAACTATTATAGTATTGAATATATTAACATATCTTCAAATTATATGATATAATGATATTATAGTCTATATAAAGTGTAAAAAAAACCCAACAAAAAATAATTAACAAATGAATATAATATTTTATAACATGTGTAGAGTTTATTCAACAATACATTAATTAATGTTACATAAATATACATAAATATTGTTTTTGAAATATTTAAACATTTAAACAAATTATAAATCAATTTAAAATTTAATAAATTAATGAATAATTAAAATATAATATAACCCATTTTATATTAAATGATGTAATTTTGTTATTATTTTTATATTGATCCAAACAAAAAATAAAACTTAAAATTTAATTTTTTAAATTAGTCATTGATAATTATATT